ACTAAAAATGACCAGAGGGTTAGCCTACAATACATAAAGCTAATCCGAAGAATGCACGTATAGGCTGTATTTATTTTCTTAGTGTTTTGGTTCATGCAAATATAGAAGCTGACTTCATGAGTCCTTGTTGTGATCAAACACGATTTTCTGCTGTTAATCATTTTCCTTCTGTCTAATGAGTCCATATGTTCACAAGGTGCTCGGCTTTCTTATTGGTGGAGCAGAGATATGATCTGTACCATTTAACTTTAAAATATGGATTGCGGGCTGGACAGGACATGGACAGGTGTGAGAGAGGTGTTATTTTACAAGCTGATTTGCATTCACTCAGCAATGAAATATATACCTCTGTCTCAGTGCACTAGAACGAAACTCCATTCCAGTTGTTGCGTTAAAAAAGGTTGGAAACGGACGTATTCACTCAAAGTTAATTCTAAAAAGAATTTCTTAAAATGCTGTGTGTGTTGTAAAGATATGCTACTTTAATAGGCATGTGCATGGGGAAAATTTTCGGTTCGGCATTCCGAAATTCAGGACTTTCGCAATTCGGGACTTCGGCAATTCGTCACTTCAACACTTGGGAACTTCGGAACTTCAGCACTTCGACACTTCGGAAATTCAGCAATTACGGCACTTCGGGACTTCTCTTGCAGCCGCTTAGTAGATAACTCCCTAATTCCCACGGTAAAAATTACTTAGCATTAGTAACGTTTGCAGCCTGTGGCTGCTCACTGTTAAAAAAAAAAAAAAAAATAGGGTCCCCCCTCCCGAGCCCCCACCTGCAACGCGTGAGTGGGGGCTATTGCCCCCCCCGCGGGCCCCCACCCCTGAGCGGCGGGTGGGGGCCCTAAAGTAAAATGATGGGGGGGAACCTATTCTCCTCCCCTGGCCCCCACCCCTGAGTGGTGGGTGGGGGCCCTTAATACTAATAAGGGGGTGGGACCTAATGTCCTCCCCCCTGACCCCCACCCCTGAGCGGCGGGTGGGGACCCTACAGTAAAATAAGGGGGGGGACCTAATGTCTTCCCCCTGGCCCCCACCCCTGAGCGGTGGGTGGGGGCCCTATATACTAATAAGGGGGGGACCTAATGTCCTCCCCCCTTACCCCCACCCCATAGCGGCGAGTGGGGGCCCTAAATTGGAATAAGAGGAGGGACCTAATGTAGTCCCCCTGGCCCCCACCCATGAGCGGCGGGTGGGGGCCCTAAATTGAAATAAGGGGGGGGAACGCTCAGGGGTGGGGGCCCTAAATACTAATAAGGGGGGGGGGAACCTAATGTCCTCCCTCCTGGCCCCCTATCAATCATGAGTGGCAGGTGAGGGCCCTAAATAAAATTGATACCCCTTCCCCAGGTGACTAGGGGTCCCCAAACCCCTTGCCCCCCCCAAAAAAAAATTAACCCCTTCCTACCTCCCTAAAAAAAATAAAACTTACCACTCGATGTTTTCTTTCTTGTAAAATCTTCTTTTTTCAGCCCCAAAAAAGGCCAAATAAAAAATCCATAATAACCGACGCACTTAAAAAAAACGCCCCCCCCAAAAAAAATGCCCCCAAAATAATCCATCTTCACCTATGGAGGGCACCGCACAGACTGAGCTCTGCAGGGTGGGGGAAGGCTTATAAAGCCTTGCCCCACCCTGCAATTAGTCTCAGAGCACTCTGATTGGTGGGTTTAAGCCATCCAATCAGAGTGCTCTGACAGGTAAATGAAGAGACTGACAGGTAAGTCTCTACATTTACCTGTCACAGCACTCTGGTTGGTTTAAAATCCACCAATCAGAGTGCTCTGTCATTTTACACAGCGTGGGAAAGTTCTTTGTAATTTTCCCATGCTGTGTAATTTGACTCATAACTCTCTGATTGGTGGATTAAATAGGCTGCTCACTGTTTAATAGACATGCCCCTACTCGCAGTATAGCGAGTAGAGGCATAATTTACTAATACTAAGTAATCTTTACTTAGTGTTAGTAAATTTGGCTGAAAGACCAATTTAGGACTTTCAGCCTTTTAGTAGATAGCTCCCTAATATCGTGGGAATTGGGGAGTTATCTACTTATTCATTCCTGTCATTACACTGACTGGTTAAGTAACTTACATTTTATATGAATGTATGTTACTTGATTGTTGAAAGTGTTGCAAATGCTTACAGCTGAATCCTGGCTATGTTTGTATACTTTTTATTTAAAATTGTATACAGTGTAACATTCTTCATTCTTCCACTGGGTAAGTATATTAGTTCTTAGGCAATACTGTGCTTCGGCACTTCGACACTTTGGAACTTCGGCAACTTCGGAACTTCAGCACTTCGGAAATTCGGCAATTCAACTATTCGGACATTCGGAAGCACCCGAATGTCCGAATTACCCGAAATTCGTCCGAATTTTAATTCGGACCGAAACGAATTGCACATGTCTATACTTTCAAATCTAATGTGAAAATCACACAAGTGAGCATTCTAATAGTAGAGATAAGTACCAAGTATTTAATTTGATTTCATTTTTTCTCAACCTAATGTAATTTGATATTTAGTAGTTTCTGCAATTTTAAATTTGCTAGAGTCAATCCTATTTTGTGAATCCTATACAAACTTACAAAATAGGCTTTCATGCTTTTGCAGAAGAATATGTTGTCATCCCAACTATTTGCTAATGCTTCCAGTAGACATATAGAGGAGGTGCATGGGTAGCTACAGAAAATAAGTGTAAATGGGTTTTACGAAGACTCCATTTAACTATTGGGAGGACACAATTTTACCTAACTGCCTTGACATAACGGAGGTGGGGACATGTCTGCTAAAAGGTTGAGCAAGTAAAATGTAATCACCTGGTAATATCCCATCCTTTTACTAGTTCAGCTGTGAATAATAATAATATGGGGGACCTGTTTCTAGTACCTGTGAGTCCTGCCTTTTGTAACATCTTGACTTCCTTCCATTTTCTGCAATTTCTGGATTAAACATAATTGTGCCTGGTTTTTCCCCTAACCCCCACCTATTATTGGATTGCACAGTATAATAAATAAAGACGATTTATCACTGACTCCCAGTGATGGGTATCGGGTGAATGCAGTTAAATAATGATTGACATGTAATAAGAGCAGTGTTAGAAGTAAACAAAGGGTTGATCTGCCAGTAGCTAAATTCATTAATCCACGCACTGTTGAGAATTTTTTTTGCATTTATTTTTATTTTTAGTAGTTTATATTTTAGACATCACATTGAAATCTGGTGGACATTCATGTACTTCCGGATGCTGTTATCTAAAGCTGAACATTGATGAAAAACAAGATCAATGTCAGGGTTTTGACTTCTGAATGCCCCTTGATGGCAATGTTTTTTGTTGTTGCTAATCTAGACTGGGATCATTCAAGCGTTACAAAGCAACTTTGTTTATGGTATATTTGATTAATGTAACAATAAGCATATTAGTGTTATTTGCTGGTTTCTTACTTTTGACTCGCACTGTATATTATCAGCATTGCTTACGGACTACCAGATTATACATTTTAATTGCCTTACAATTATAAACTTATTGGTTAATTCATATCTGATTCCAGCTGGCCATAACATGGAGCTTCTGGAACCTCTGGTTAAATTCCAAATTGGCCTGAAGAAATTATGTCTACATGAAGAAGAGCATGTGCTTTTGATGGCCATCTGCATTCTTTCTCCAGGTAAATTGATTGTAATGAATGGTCTCTAAGCTTAATGTGACAAAACTGTACATTTAATTGAGATTTGAGGGGGTCATCTAAATGAGACTTCCACTTACATTCTAACATGTAAAGCAACAATCAAGTTGAAAAAAAAAAACTTTCAAAAAATGTTTTAATTAGACCAACATTGATTGATTTCATGTTGATAGGGGAAAATCTAAGAGTTTCTTTGAAGAAATTAAAAAGTGCTAAGACATTTTTTTTTTTTACAAAGTGCACGAAGTGTAATTATTAGAATCCATGCATACCTCTTTTCATCTTCAAAGAGGTAGCAATAACAAACAACCAGTAGAGATTGTTTTGCTGTTTTATTTAATTATGTATTGATTTATATTTCTATTTGGTTTCTTTTTCTTTCCTTATTTAAAGACCGTCCAGGTGTACAGGACAAAGAACTTGTGGAAGCCATTCAAGATCGCCTCTCCTTGGTTCTACAAACTTACATTATGTGCAAACACCCATCACCAGGAAGTAGATTACTCTACCCAAAAATGATCCAAAAACTGGCCGATCTCCGCAGTTTAAATGAGGAGCATTCCAAACAGTATCGGAATCTCTCCTTCTTGCCAGAAAACAGCATGAAGCTCACGCCGCTAGTGCAGGAAACGTTTGGCAATGAAATCTCTTGAATTAAGACATTTGCTTATATTGATGTGTGAGTAATTGGATTTGTCCTAGACAATAATTGTGACGGCAATTCATATTAATTCTTTTATTCTGGGGAATGTTTTGGAGTCTTTTCAATCAAAGGAATAATTTGTGGAAGTTGTATATAATGCATAATATAATATTTAAGCTGATATATATTGACAATCTAGGATGGGAACAAAGCTTTCTATTATTCCCTGCTAGAAACAATGTCTTTGTCCTGTATTTTTTTTTTCTGTAGTGTTCCGATTGAGAATATTTGTCTTGGGTACCTTTAAAACACAAGTGTCAACTTTAAACTACAAACGCACAGACATGCATACACACACATATTTTTTAGAGATTTATTTAAGAGATACATATTTTTGAAGCTTCTAAGAAACAGATTTGTCAAATATGTGCGCTAAATGCCAAAAATAAACTTTAAAGCCTTAATTAACCACAAAATAATTTATTTTCTTAACAATATTTACAACTTTGATAAACAGTCATTTCCAATTATAACCAAAGTAGACATAACTGTGTCATATCCACTTAAAATACACACATTACAAATATATAGTGATAGATTATATTATTAAAAGAATATATTTGAAATTTGTCTGTCTATATATATATATTTATATATTTTCTTATGAGTAAAGAGAAAAAAGCAAAAACGTTTTACATCTATTGTGTTAAGACACTAATGCCTATATTACAATCCTGTGTTGTTAATCAGTTGATATAGTTTTCTGACATTTGGCCAAAATTACACCACTATTAACAAAGCAATCCCAATCCAAAAATATGAACTAGTTATTCAGCCGATAACACAAAAGACAGAAAATGTTATTGTTTTAAATGCTGGTCTAGATTTAGTTTTAATCATCAATCTCCCAATGTCTAGCTCTAAAGGCTGACTATCACAAAGTTAACTACAAATAAAAACTGCCCCATTTGAGAGGTTTTTGATAACAACACACTCTCAATGTTATGAACATCCAAGATCATTGATAATAGTATGTGACAGGTGTGCCATTAAAAGGACAATATAGACACCAACATGGAGCAGTTTTGGTTTATAGATCATGCCCCTGCTGTCTCATAGCTCACAGTCTCCAACATTTAGGAGTCCAATAACTTTGTTTATACAACACTAGTCACTACTCCCTGCATGTGACTTGCAGTCTTGTCAGCCTTCCTGAGAAGTAACCTAAATATTCTAAGTTTCTATGTTGCACGTCTGTTTAATCTAGAATTTATTATCTCCTGTTCTGTTAATAGGCTCCAAGATTCTGCAGAAGACTCCTTTGTGTGATAAAAGTTCATTTTGTAGAGCAGGATATGAAAACTTGTAAAGCAAGTCAAGGTCTGATTAAAAATGAAAAAAACATTATCAGGCACAACAAGGGGAGGTGTGGCTAGGGCTGCATAATCAAAAACAAAAGTGGTTTGACTCCTACATGAAAGAGAATTGATCAATGAGACTGCAGGGGCATGACTATACTTCCAAACTGCTTCATTAAGCTAAAGTTGCTTTGATGCAAAAAGTATCCCTTTCACCTGTGTTCTTAATGGATATTGCATTCTATGTGTTTCTTAATTTACCTCCAAAGGACATTGCAGGTGTTTATTATACCATCAATTATGCTAGTTATGTTTTAGTTAATGTACCTATGTGTGCTTTAATTGATGGAATTTATTAATGAAGAATCATTTACTTTGCAAGTATGTGTCATCTAGTCAGGAAGTGTTTGTTGTTGCACCAAGGCCCAAAATGTAATTTGTATTCACAGAAAAAAGAAAATGGTCCAGGCACTACTATGGTTTAGATAGGCAACTTTATTGGAAACAAAGATTTGAACAAAACGTTCTTTTTCAAGCTTGAACTGACTGCACAGTCACAGACTTCCCAATGCAGCTCAATGATATGTTTTTGGTACAACTGTGGCTCTGTTCAAAAAGCCTACCTTTTGAGTTTATCTTCACAGAGTTAACAACCAGGAATAATAGGGGTGGTTGTCTGATAAAGTGGTGTAACCAGGTTCATTTCTAAAAGCTCCAATTTCTATTGAAATGTAATTTTTTGTTCCATGAAAATAAGGGCACATTGTTCACACCAGCTAAAGTGCTCTAGGTGTTAAGAATGTTGCGTTAAGTAAAGATTTGTAACTGTTTTTAGTCCGAGATAATGAAATGGATGGATGCTTACCAGTTAGAGATGCTGAACGTCCGTGCACAATCCACCCTGTAATATGAATTTCTGATAGCTGAACTTTAACATGGAAAGAATATCCACCAGCATCAATATTGGTTTAAATGCCAGGGGCGTTGAGCAGTACATCATCCATCAAATGGTTAAATATAAAAATTGGTTTACATTTGCTTCATTTTAAACCTTAGAACCTATGTATTTAAACAACAGAAACGTGATTTTAAATGTATACATTGTAATTATAGAATGCCACCCAATCACACCAAATTGTTGTACTTTAAACGGTTTGTTAAGTAGCTTGCAAGGCTGTTTTTGAAGTGATAGTGATCATTATTGCAGATAATCACAGAATGTTTACCATTTTTCTTTTCGCAACCTTTTTATTCTTCTTTCATGTCATGTTTTTCTTCCACAAATTGCAGTCATTGGAATCATTATACTGGTATTTTTGGAATATGATATTCTATATCCTATGTAATGCCAAATTTATTACAATAACCTTAGATATAATTATATTGAGTATAGCTCCTGATATATTTGCAATTCATAGGGTTATACATGCACTTATCATTATAGCAATATGTTGACTAACATAATACTTAAAAGTTCATAAAGTGCAAGAAAGTATGATGTGATAACTTTACTTGCACTTACTATATCCTTTATCTTAAAAATAAATAGAAGTAAATTATTGAAAGTGCCAAAATACAATCTAATTTCAATTTTTTAATGACATTAAATAGAGGTAAAGCACAAACTGCATTCATAAATTTTATTGTGTATACCTAATTGTGAAATAAATATGAATACTAAAATACTATATATGTATTTATTTATTTCCTCCTAATTTAAATTATTAAACAGTGTTTTACTTGAATCCTTAAATTTTAACATTCAAAAAATGTAGTTCACCCACAAATATTCCTAAAGGAAAATTATTTTTTAAATAGTAAAAAATATATTTTTTAGTAGTTTAGTTATGTACAAGAAACTCCAGGAGTGACTTCACTTTTTTTTTCTTGAATTTCCTCATATCTTCATTTTAAGTTATAGTGTAGATCTCTTTAAAATTAAAAAATGAATTTCACCATAACCTGGGACTTCTTTGTCTTATGTAAGGTAATTCAATAATTGGCCACATAAAATTCGTGATTGTGACAAAGGGAAGTATTATGGATTGTCACCTTACATTTTCAGATGCTGGAACATTCATATCTTTTCTTGCAATTTTTTGGAGAGGAGCGGGCATTTTCTTAATGTCCTAGAAGCCAAAAACGTTATGATTGGCTACAGGAATGTCCCTTTTATTTTCCACATCAAGAAAGTGTTGCGTTATTATTTATTTTAGGTTACTTTCTGTTATTTCTCAACAAAAATATACTTTTTGTATATTTTATGTTCACATTTGTACATTCCCATATTTTTAAGCTATAATTTTTCAAATAATATTAATTATTTTTTTAACTGAAAAAGTAAGATCTTCAATATATTTTGTAGTTCTGCATCTTTTTGTGCAAAATCGAACTCATTTAGCTAATAACTGTGAGTAATCGGTGTCCTTTTTTAATAATCATAATGGACAAACTGTCAATGAGGAATAGTACATAACGAATACCTAGGATGAAAATTTTCCTATCAGGACATGTGTAAATTTACATATCTGGCCACAAAGTGCACACCCATTGCCTAACCTTATTTCTGAGGCTAATACTTCTACTTCTTATCAAAAAAAAAGTGGCTTAGAAGAAATGTAATACTATCTAGCACAACTTCAATGGTTAGATTTGAATAGTTACTTCTCCAATTCAGTAATGTTTGTATTGCTATTTAATTAATGCACCTTAAAGTTACAGAATTGTTCCATTCATGTGAACATGATTGAGCTTGATTGTCGTGGATTGGACTGTGGTTGGTGACATCTGTTCCTTTATAAAGGAGATTATCCAGAGAGTGCACTGTCAGCAGTCATATCTTGTATCCTAGATGCCCCTAAGTTAGTTTACATATTTACACTAAGATTTGCTATATTTGCATACTTTCATCATTGGATTCTCTGATTCATAAATAAACAAAAACATCTACCAAAGATAATAAACAGCCATGAATTGCAAGACAAATATACATTGTTCGGGCAATGATCTTCCAATGTTCTTTAGTATAGAGCGCCCTCTGAAGACAGAAACCTAATTTGCAAGAGAAAAAAAAAATCCCTTTTTTCATTTGTTTAACTTTTTTTTTGGGGGGGGGGGGTAGACATTTTAAATTGCCAGTTTTTCCTTTGCTTGAGTTAATTCCTAATTTATGTTTTTTAGGGCTCAACTAAGCAGCTGAGCCTTCACATGATTTGCCTTCCAGTTTCAGTGCTTCGATTAATTTTTACTCATTTTTTTCTGTTTTTTTTTGGTTATGCTGTCTATGGTGATCAACTGACCATTTTTCTTGCCACCGCACACCAGATTCAGATCAGTTGCACCATAGTTTGTTCTCCGACAGCAAGGTGGACACTAAAGGACAATTTTCTACCTTGTATTAATCCTAAAAAATATGCTCGTTATACAAGAAAGCATTAGGGTTAGTCAAATATTGTGTTAGAAAAAAACAAACATCAGTTTAGTGTATTTTGAAATTAGTTTAATGGAAATATGTACTCAGTATAGCTTATTCTTCATAATTGGATTTTCAGTAAACTGCAAACGTTCAAAGCACTTTAAAAGGTTACCTTAAAGGAAAACTAGCATTACAAGTACAAACCTGTATTCCTAACACTATAGTACCCCTGTCCATTTAGATCAGTAGGTTCCCCATGTGTAATAAAAATGAGATTAAAAAAGGTTTTCCTTACATTTATTTCCTTATTGGGAAATAAATGAGCACCACGCACAGATCCAATTCTCAGTTAATTAGGTACATTTGGTCACCTGACAAACGCGGTCATTGCTGCAGAAGGGACTCTAGTGACTGTCTGGAAGACAGCCACAAGAAGTGTATTCAACCCTGCAATAAAAAACATTGCAGTTTCTACAAAGCTGCAATGTTTTACATAGCAGAGTTAAAACTACAGGACCACTGCCCCCAGAACACTTCATTGTGATAGTATATTCATTGCATACTGTAAACCTACTCAATATAATGTCATGGCTCACAGAGTGCTTTTGCATATATTGAGAAAATGTGGCTAATGCTAACTAGAGATGTCGCGAACTGTCCGCCGAACTGTTCGCGAACTGTCCGCCGGCGAACAATAGCGTGTTCGCGTTGGGCGAACATATCCGATTTCCGGTCCGCCCCTATACGTCATCATTGAGTAAACTTTGACCCGGAACCTCACAGCCAGCAGACACATTCCACCCAATCAGCAGCAGACCCTCCCTCCCAGGAAGTGTCTGCTGACTGTAAGGTTCCGGGTCAAAGTTTACTCAATGATGACGTATAGGGGGCGGACCAGAAATCGGATATGTTCGCCCAACGCGAACACGCTATTGTTCGCCGGCGGACAGTTCGCGAACAGTTCGGCGGACAGTTTGCGACATCTCTAATGCTAACTGGTGAAAAATAACTTGTTCCAGCTTCATCATATATATTTGAGCTTACTTGTTGAACAAACATGACTTATAGATTCCATTTTGATGGCATACCACATTATTTCATTTAAAAAAAAACTCCTTGTGCTTCACATACACTACTATGTGTATAGGTAATACACATATTCCATATGCTTCTTGTTCATAACCACCAAAGGGAATGAGTATAAACAGCACAACATTTGAAAAACAGACATTTGACCTATTTTTTGGTATAAATTAATTTCATTGTAGAAACACAAGGATACAGCAGATGCAGAGTACCATGGTAACCATTATACTTATTTTTTTTGAAATGACAAATATGTGGTCTTCAATCTAGTACATATTCTAGTGCTTAAAATATGGTTTCTCAAGTATGTGTCTAAACGAGGAACTGTCATTTCTGTGAAAACTACACCAATGACGAAAACATCAAAAGCACCCATAGTGTGTATTAGCTCAATGTTTTCCCCTGTGATGCTTTTGTTTTTGTCAAAAAAAAACACAATTCAGTTTATTCTAGACACAACCAGAGTAAACTCAAATTAAGAGTATAAATATTATTTAATTTCTCCTCTTTGTATTCTTTATCTATGCTGACTACCAGGTACAAAAGAGAGCACTTACACCAATGGCTGACAGGGAGTTAAGATGGAGGCCACCAGTGGGAATATAGTATATAAGTGGTGAGGATGTCTACAATTCTTTTTATTTTCCACAGCTCACAATTACAAATTTATTAACTAAGGAATAAGTAAACATAGAAAACATAATATTAAAATTCTTACCCTGTAATAAAGATATACAGAAAAATAGGGGATAATCTGCTAATCTGTATACATTCCATTGAAGACAAGAGGAAGTCTTTGGGGAAGTCCTACCTGGTTCAGGAAGGGTTTTTTTCTGCTAATTATTTACCGAGCACTTATTGCACTGTGGTTTGTGCACACATATATTGTTTTTTTGTATCCCTGTAATAAAGATACCTTGGGCATAGGATTTTCAATATATATTTCACTTTTTGTAGTCTTGATTTAATGATAAAATTAATGGATGCAGGATGCAGGAGCTTATTGTTACTGAAGGAACAATGTTATTATTACTATTTATCTAGTTGTAACATTTACTACAGCATTTTCCAAATATAGAATGGGGATATTTGACAATAATTAACTGACAAGAAATAAAGAACACCCTACCTAAACAAGCTGACATAGCAATAATATGATGATGGTAATTATACCAACGATTCTTTGATTTTGTAAGTGCCTAATATACATCCCCTTAAAACTGACATCCAAAATCAAAGGTTGTCTGCAAACTGATGTTTATTTTTGGCCTTTTTGAATTAAACAAGTGAGCACTCTCACTGAACTAAGATGTTATGATTTACAGACATTTTTCCTTTGAATTTACATGGATATCTATTTGTTTCAGTGGTAATATATTTAATATGATTGTTTTGTTAGAGGATATTCTTTTACAGACTGTGAAACCTTAGTGTACATGCCATTTTTAGCCACTTGGGGGCAGCCTAATTCTGGAAACATAAATATTGCATATTTCTTCGAATGTAAGGTTTTGTAACTAATTTAAGAAAACTCAGAACTTATGAAGAAAATGACAACCAACTACTAAAGGCAATTGCAATCACCATGCACCGTGTTTACAACACATACTTCAAGATACACCAACATTCCAAGTGTTCTCCGTAATCCCCAAAGGAACATAACTGAGAATTTCCTAACTCTTAGATTGTTGGTGTTTAATTAGGACTAATGTAAAAATCATATAATCCACATTTCAAAAACTTCATGCAGGTGTTAATTTATATTTTAGAGCTGTGTTAATATATTCTTATTCCACTTTTGAACTTAGCCCTGAATTGTTGGTTGCTATGTTTAAAGGGACACTATAGGCACCAAAACAACTTTAGTGTAATAATGCTGTTTTAGTATACATATCATGCCCCTGCAGTCTCTCTGCTCAAATCTATGACATTTAGGAGTTAAATCACTTTGTTTATGCACCCTAGTCACACCTTCTTGCATGTGACTTGCACAGCCTTCCTTAACACTTCCTGTAAAGAGTCATCTAATGTTTATACTTCCTTTTATTGCAAATTGCAATTTAAAAGTTTAAATTCCTTGCACTGTTAATAGCTTGCTATACCCTGCAGGAGGCTCCTGTGTGTGATTAAAATTCAATTTAGAGAGCAGG